TTTTATTTGACACTTCCAATGCCTTAGAATCAGTTGAATCTTAGAAACGATAAATTTAAAAATACGGCATTTCAACATACAATTATTTTTTTCGGCTTTCAGTATTGTACATTAACAAACTATTTTATTAAATGTGGTGCCAAACAACGAATTCCTTCTCAGCTTGGTATCAAAGTAAAAAGAAAAAAATCGAAGAAACAACAATGTTTTTTTGGCAGTATTCATATCAAATATTATACTTGGTAACGTTTTAAGGTTAACTAAATGGGACTGTGCATACACCCTCTATATATATTTTCTGAGATTTTCAAAAACGGCACTCTCTAACCGGTTTTGTGTTGTTAGGGTGGGTGGTGGTTTTGGAATTCATCAATCTAAGTAGTGATGTTGCAATAGCAACAGCAGAAGCAGCTGTTCTTCGTCTATTATATTACTAAATGTACATAAAATCCCCTGACCTTTTTCTTCAGTCGTTGTATTACGGAATCTTTTTAAAGTATTCTTTTCGACACCACTGTGTGTTATTTTGTTGTACTCGCAGCTGCATTTGTCAAATGGGTTTTTTTTGTGATTTCGTGTCAGAAAGTATACACTACCACAAATAACGTTTTTATTGTGCAAACGGGGATGTATTTATTCATCTAACAGTATGAAAATAGCTGAAATTTAGTTATATGAAAATATATATTCAACATAAGACCTTATTGGTGAAAAATATTTATTGGAAATTGTCAAAAAATAAAAATTTTCTAATTTAAAATGATGGTATATATTTTTTCCTTGTGTTATTTTCAAACCAAATTTTCTTAAGCAAGGCATATATTTAAATCCTATTATAGTGTTAATAAAACTTACAGCATAAGTTGAACAACTACCGGAAGTCCTAAAGGTTAACTCAACATCAACTGTGACTTTAACAGCTCCATGTTCTAGTAATATTCTTAATTTTTAATACCTATAGTATTAACTATGTATTTTTATGCATACAGATTCATTATAATTTTTTTGTATCAATTACTTTTTTTCTCATCTCACAATAATATTATACTACTGTTATATTTCTGCTGTATATACAGAGTGATTTATTTATCATAAACCACTCAAAATAAATATAATATTAAATAAACAATTTGTTTTTTTTTAGTTTGGTTTATATATTTTTTGATTTATTAGATATTAATTACTTTTAACATCATCCATTATAACCTATAGAAGTTTCAACATTTATTTTTTTTAATTGAAAAATGCACATTTAATTAGTTTTTATAAAATAGGAAATTATTTAGTGAAGGAAATAGCTGGTTGGANCATTTATTTTTTTTAATTGAAAAATGCACATTTAATTAGTTTTTATAAAATAGGAAATTATTTAGTGAAGGAAATAGCTGGTTTTGCTATTTGATTAGTATAACGGATTTTATTAACGTCGTTTTTATACATGAGCAGAGAAGTGCTTACGAAAAATGTAAAATGATATACATAGTCATAGCGATGCGTCACCCTCAGTCTATATTTAAAAATTGTCATTACCTATGAAATACTGGTCCATAAGTTATTTAAAAAGTGAACTGTCATTTTTTAAATTAGTTAATTTCCTATTTTATAAGCTAGTTAAATATGTATGTTGGCATTAAAAAATATAATATTGAGACCACTATAAATTATAAGGAATGATGCTGAAAAGTAATTAATATTTGATAATTCAAGAGTTCTGTAGGGTAATTATTTCACTAAGGCTCCCATAATTTCTAAAAAAAAAAACACAAAAATTGTATAATATTATTTTTTCTATTCGAAAATTAATAGTATTCTACGTTTTATAATTTAAAAAAAATCGTTCCTACAAACCCCTTTTCCCCCTTTAATTTTCTGAAATTAAGTATTTTAATAAAAACATATATGTTGAACCAAATTACAAACTAGAAAATGATCCGTCTAAGAAAATGATTGGTCGATAACAACTTTTAGACTTGTATTTCAGAAGTTATTAATTCTTAATAATAGGAAAGTGGTGTGGCGCTGTGGATCATTCAGTCGCCGTCTTAGTGCTAAATCAATTTTCAATTATAAGCAAAATCAAAAAAAAAAAAGTATTATACAAAAAAAATACAGTAATCATTAAAATATATCAATATTACAGAGTAAGAGATTTAAATTTAACTATACTATCATGAAAAAAAATAAAAATTACGAATTTCATTACAAGAAAATTTAATTCGTGAGGTAGTATCCAAATTTATTAGATCATAAGTTGTGAGCTTTGTTGTCATACATTGAGACACTTGTATATTGATAGCTAACAATGATTATCATAGTTATCAAAATATGTTTCGATACAAAGATGCATGAAATCTTAGTGAAAAATTTTAGATAGAGAATGATATTTACTGGAATAATGATTGTGTTTCTTATACACATGTACTATAGGCATTATTTCGTTAAAAATTATGTATAATTTTATGTTTAAAAACATTAAAATTGGTATATTTTACCCCTTAAAAAATCAAAAATTGTTCGCAATTCACCAGTTTAAAAATTCTCGGAATGTTTTTATTTTGGTAATCATAAAATATATTTAAACAGCTTTAATTTGATATAGGTTGAAAGTTATCAAACGATACATGTAATTTATTTCAGTTAATCATTTTTTTTTCGACCAAACCCAATCCAACTCAGAATGTAACATAATTAGTAGGTCTACTTCACTTTGTCAGGAACGCATAGTAACTCTGTCCGTAAGTACTGATGATTTGATTTCATTGCACCAGGTTTTGTAAGTTCTACGTCCTCTTTACTACAAGTATAGTTTCTAAGAGACAACGTTAAATATGGTATAATAAATGAGAATTATAAATATAACAACAAAACAATTTTTTATATATGAAACGATAGATATATCAACTGAAAAATAATACACTCAATCCAATATTAAAGTTATTTTAGTAACTTTGAAAATAAAATACAAATATTACCCGAGTAGTAAGTGTAAGTTGAAGGTATTAAAAATAAGATCGATCAAGGTAAAGTTCATCATGCAAGGAATGACGTACTTTCAAGGTGATCAACACAAGATTCACAAATATATCTATAGACCTATATAATTATTGTTCCTGAGGCGAGCAAAATTATCGTTATTTTAATCGTACATTCAGTTTAGCCCTGATAGAAATAATTGACTGATTTTGGTTAGAAGAAAATTCAAGCATTGTATTGCTAATTGTTTTTTCACTAACTAAATAGAAATTTGTTTACCGAACAAAAACTAAATTTTCCTTTGTTGATTTACCAATTTAATGTAAATGAAACACTCGTAAAGAAATATAGAATATCAAAATAGCTATTAATTTTCAAAAAAATGTTTAAATGATTCAAGGTAACTTAGGTACAAATCATTTAACGTAAGATGTGTGATTAATTATTTAAAATTCACATACTCGTATTCCAAAAACGCATATTAAAAAGAATTAAATATTTTTCATATCGATGATTTATCTTAATTGACTCTTTTTAGAACTTAAGATAAATTATTAGCAATTATAACAATGAAGTTAATTTGCCTCATTCTTATCAGAAAATTACCATGACTTGTAAAGATACAAGTCTATAAATATACTCAATTAAATAATAAATTCTTTTATTTTGTTGAAGTCTGTTATTTTTTAACTGCTATTTTAATATTCAATTGTTTTTATAATTGCTTCATTTACAATTAATCGATTAAACTTTTTAACAACGATTGAACTTATCCTAAATATATATGAAATATTTGAAGAAGCCGAGCGTTAGTTTATAACCCGTTTCTTTATTAGTATGCTAGATCTCATTTTTCCAAATATATTCAAATTACTTCAAACGTTGTAAAATGTTGCGCATTATATCTCACTAAAGCTAAGGCGAAGATACTGCCTTTGCTACCTTACCTATTATAAACAAGGTGATCCTTTTAACTTTAGACACATGATTTTTCATAAAAAATTCATTATGATTCGAAAAAGTTGTTTGTTATTTTTTAGTTTTATTTATTCCCCAATTTAACAATTATTAATTACTTTTTTAATGCATCCCATATTCTCTATATGTGTGTCAACTTTATTTTTAACTAGTTTACAAAATAAAAAAAAATATCTAATTAGAAAATTACGGACTGATAACAACTTTGATCCAATATTTTGAAAGTTAATACCATTTTTAAATGTATACTGGTAGACGTGGATATGAAAATATCTATCATTAGACATTTTTGGCCACACACCCCCCCACCCTTCACCAGGATAATCAATGGTTACAACTTACGAAGACTGGTCCAAAAGTTGTAAATCATTAGTCAATTTCATTATTAAAACTCTTTTTATTTTATAAGATAGTCAAATATTCATGTTAAATGAAAAAATAAATTATAAGCGACGAGTTAAAAATTAAGCAATAACTGTTAAATAGAGAAATATATAAAATTAAAAAATATTAAATATAATTTAATTAACACATTTATTATTTTAAGAGAAATTGAGTGGCTAGCATTAAAATAATTGTCCTATTTATATTATACCATGATTATTAAAATGTTTTGAAAATATGTTACTTAATAAATTAAAATTTACAAAAAATTAGTTTGCAATTATTTGTTATTTTAAAATATTACATTATAAAAACTAAATTGTAAAAATTATATCCTTTTTTAATTATAAAATTCTAAAAAAATATTAATAATGTGTTGTATGAATATTTTTTTAATACATAAATTTTCTTTAGTTTAGGTAATGCACTTAAACAGTTATTATTATTATTATTGAGCCATCTGGTATTCTTAGATTTAAATTTATAGTGGATGCAATTAAATTTTGAATGAAGGCTTTAGAAAATAAGGATAACATTTAATTTAAAGTGGCAAACAGACATTTTTTCTCTCTTTTCAATTGAGTTTTAAAAAAATGATGTATTTTTTTTTTAATACAAAATATTTTAATTTGAACTTGATAATTAATGAAAATATATTTTTGCAGGTCTTTACACTATTGTAGCGAAGAAGACACACCTAAGACATGTTGTGGCCTATTGACATTACCCGATGCTACTAGTACTGTTTCAATTAGATGGTTCATTGGTATAGTCTTTGTTGCTGGAATTTGCTCTGCATTAGTTGGGACTGTACTAGGTGCAACTAGAGCATCAGGCAAAGAACATCTGACCGTTGCTCTACTTATGATTGGTATGCTCATTATATTTTTATCGTAAAATTTGTAAAAATTGTGGACTCTATATTTCTACTGAATGCGGAGTCGCCTTATTAGGTAAAATTATGTAATCAACAATTTTTGCGTGAATGAAAATATTACTAAATAAAATCATCTGTTCAATAATCTTTGACATAAAATTAATCCTAGTATTTACTAAAAATTAGTATTATTTTTAATTATCAAATTATTATGGATAAATATCAAAATTTCATTATTTAATTTAGAGATGGTGATGTCTTATTATGTCTTATATTACACGTTTCTAGAGATTGGAAACCCTTCTTCCACTTTTAGCCTACATAGTTGTAATGTTGTCTTAATACACTGTCATAAAACCTTTTTTAATTTTTCATAATCTCTTGAATTCATTTATCTAAAACACATAAAATTATAAACATATATTATAAGAAAAAACAGTGGCTACTATTAGAAATACTTATAACACATTGCCTAAAAGTTATATTTAACAGTTTTTTTTTCATAAAAAAAAGAAAAAAAATCAATTATTCATCATTANATTTTTTTTTTAAAAAAAAAAAAAAAAAAAATCAATTATTCATCATTAGTGTTTGGAATTAAAGAATAAATATCTTTAGCTTCCACTTCTGATTCATGCCTTGTAAGTCCAATTTTTTCAATAGTATTTTGTACTGCTAATACCAAGGACTGCTCTAATTGTAATTGTTTTTGTCATATGACAAAAAGAAGACTCAACATCATAATGTATTTTAAGAACAACATTCAATATTTTATTCAGTATACCTATAATAATATTTGTATTAACTACAAAATACAAAATAAAATTTATATATAAAAAATTTTACCAGATTGATTATTTTGTGAAGAAATATTGTACAATCTGCTTCTTGAAGTTGGTTTGATTTAATTGATATTATATGTACATGAGGTAAAACAAATAATGACTTTATACACAAATTATTAAGTTTGAACTTAAATTTCTAATATATATATATATATAATAGAAAACATTAATATCTACTATTTATAAATAGTAGATAAATAATAATTTTTAATATTGCAACATTAAAATAATTTCAGTTGTTATAATATATAATTTAATATGTACTTAACTTAGAGATTTAACTTTATAAATTTTTGAGAAGGCAGAAATTATTTGAGGACTTCGTTTTGGGAATGAGTTTTCGGTATCAAATTCATAACACTTTGTTTGAGCTATTATAAAAAATATGTAGTGAATTTAATTAATTTATACATATATTATCTAATTAAATTATACTTGATAAACTAAACAATAAGGAAAATTTAATATCTAATAGGATTTTTAATTTAAAATATGATAGATCATCCAAAATTAAAAAAATTTTCATGAAAACAGAGAAACAATTTTTAATATATAATACCATTAAGATCATCAGATAATTTTGGATTGTGCAGAGGTGATTGATTAAGTCATACCGCACCAGTGTTCTTTTTTTTCTTTTTGGTTTGTCTTGATTTTTTTCTGAATGTAAAATAATTATCAATACATATATCAATACACACAAATAGGTTGATTTATACTTGATTTGTATATGCAACTTATATTAACTTAAAAAAATAGCATATTTACCATAATTGTGTAGGTTCTTCAATCATCTTAGAACTTTTTTTTGGTAACAAGTTTCTTCTGACTGTGATAAGTCACTAGCGTACTGTGCTACTTAAAGTTTGGCTTAAATTCAACCTATGTTGTTACATTTTTTATTTAATTAAAAGACTGGTATAATAATATTGGGTTTTAATATTTTATGCAAATTTAATAATAATTTTTGTAGTTAAATACATTTAGAATCATATTTTGATTAAATAAATGGTATTTTTTTGACAATGACAATTTAAAATAACTTTAAGATAATGATAAATTAAAATACATAATTTATATGAATATTATTTATAGTTAATATGTGATTTATTTCAATAATAAAATTATATATAGCTAATTCTTTGAAATTAAATTTACATTGAAAAAACCACTGATTAATTACTAATGTTTCTCTTCAATATTATTCATTTAAGTTATTTAAATTCAATATCATTGATTTCAATTCTTTTTTAAATTATTTTGTACATTCTTATTAGGCCAGGCACATTTATTATGTGATCCAATATGATTGTCCAAGTTCCACTTTATTATCCTCAGTAATCAAAACTATTGTCACCATAATTAAATAATTTACCTAAAATTAATTAAAAAACATGTTTGACAAAAAAATGAAAAATTACAATATTTACAACATAAATAATAAAAATTCAATATAACATATTAAATTATTTACGTGTAAATAAATTAATATAATTAATGTAACATTAGAATCAAAATTAGATAAGAAAAAAAACATTCTAATTTATCAACAGCTTTTGAATTATGATGTCTGATAATAATATATTATTATAATAAAATAAACTGTGGTATAGGTGTTATATAAACAAAATTTATTCTTGTCATTTTAAATATATTTAAAGGTTATAATAAAATGGTAGTTTATGATTATATTAATTGTATAAGTAGCACAACTATAAATTCATCTTTACAAGAAAACACAATTACTTAATTTTATTAATTGTATCAACATTCCAATATTTTATCATTGTCTTAAATTTGATAGGATATTCAAAATGATCTTTTTTGTTTTCAAATTCATTTACAATTAAAATGATTTCTCCATTATCTGAAGAATGGGTAATATTTAATAATTTTACAATATTATTAGTCTTAGTACAAAAATAACAATCAGTATCACTCTTTCACTTAAATTTGTAATTTTTTTTGAAAGTTCACAAGGAAAATGTTTTGCTAAATTAACAAATAAATTTGAAACACTTTTAACTTTCCAAGATGGTTAGTGGATACTTAATGAGTCACTATCCATAGCATTAGAAGTTTTTTGATCAAGCCTAAACATATGATGCATATGATCTAAAGAGAAGTTATTAATTACATCAAACCTAGTTATTTTAGTTTAGTATTTTTTAAGTATAGAAATCTCAGTATTCAATAGATGATGGTCAACAGTTAATTTATTGGTGTAACCATAATGATATATTTTAAGAGGTCTATGCAGTTTATAATATGGAAAACATGTTCTATTTTTAATTCTTTCTCCGTCAATTTCATTATGAGTACAAAGAATTATACTCCATATGAGACTTGATTTTTAAGGCAAAAAATTTAACTGACATATTATAGCAAATAATATCTAGTATAATATTGTAATTTTTATTTTTATAAGTTAAATCATCACATGTTAATTTTTTTATTTCATTTACAAAGTCTCTCAATAAATCATTACTATCAAAAGGCTTTTGTTTTTCACAAAACAATCCAACAGAGCAAACATTATTGATTCTGGACTAATGTAAGCCAAAATTGTAATGATGTACTTTTATGAACTGGCAAATCATCTATACCAATAACTAATTTAATACCTCTTTAATAATTATGTAGGTGTTAAATTAGAAATAATGCCTTTTTGAAGGCCAAATGGTAACACTTACCAGATTAAATCTTACGTACACTTTAAACTTTAATAGGTCTAGAATTTTATAAAGACCTAGGACCTACTGGAAGTCTGGAAAAATACTTATGAGATCATAAAAGGTCCGATAGAGAAGTACAGGAAACATTATACTCTATAGCCCATTGAGCTAGTTAAAAACTTATTGATGAAAATGAATCAGTCAAATTATCTATTTCTGTAATAGAATCACAACTAGACAATTGTTTATTTAATATATCATTATTAGTAATAAAATTATTAAAATCAAATGATATACTATCATTAGAATCTTTGTCAGATGTAACTGCGACAGAAATGTTTTCTTTACAGATAGCGATGTTAGAAATATTATTGCTTACGGTAGATTGAGGTTCAACTTTTTCAAACACACTAGAACTACAAGATTACTGAAAGAACCTATACTCTTCTTTTCTTCTCTTAGAACGTTCACTTAAAAACTCATCCATAATATATATATATGAAAATTTATTGATAAAACTAGAAAGTACTAATAAGGGAATCTGACTGACTTGCACTATTTAATTTTATCTATTTCTCGATTTATTAATTATAATTATTATTTTTTTAATTCATCCCTCATGCCTTATAAGGGTGTCAACTTTATTATTTTAAATGGTAATATGTATATTTGATTATTAATAAAAAAAAATGAAATAATTAAGAAAATGACTGGTCGATAACAATTTTAGTCCCATTATTTCGGAATTTGAAGCCCAGAGACTAGTCAAAAATTATATAAATTACGAATTTTTAGAACAGTTACAAATAGTTGTATTTTAAAAATATAATTATAATATACATACACAAATATTAGAATGATTATAATAAACACAATATTTTTAACGTCTGTGTGAATTTAAAAATTAATGCTTAAGTTTACCCATACGAAGGCTATTATGATCAAAATATCAATCCCATTTTTATGAATTTTGATCTCTTTATATATCTATTCTTTACTTATAATTAATAAATTTGTTTATATTATTCGTCGATTCCCTTATTTTTACAATTTTTTTTAACTTTAACTAAAATTACTGAATTTAAAAACTAAATTAAAAGACCTTAATAAGAAACTCTTGGGAATGTCATAATGCTCACTAATAAGAAGTTTGGGATTCTTTCAGAAAGACTGTCAAAGCATCTTATTCAATAGTTACTGTCGGGTTTAGATTAGGTAATTTCTAGGAAGATCTTTAATACATCCTATTTAGAAGTTACCACCATGTATAAATAGGAAACTTTTAGGTAGGTCAACAACTTCCTAACAAGGTGATCTTGCCAGCCTTTATTTAGGTACTAAACAGATAATGCCTGGGAAGGTATATGCTATCAGTTGTGTATTAGGCTTAACTTACTACATATGACTATTAATGAAACAACTTTATTCTCTATTATTTGTTTTTGCTATGGAACATTAAATTTATTTTGTTTTAGGTGTTGGAGTTATTTTGGTTGCCATTAGTGGTATAGCCTGGCGCTTGACAGCAGGGCAAGAAGCATCATCATGTAGCGCTGTCTTTGGATTGGGTCGAACATTAGATGATACTGTTGAAGCCAACAGGAGATTTGTTCCAAGGCTACCTCCTTCCTATGGCCGACCTCATCATCCTTATGCTGGTTAGTTTTATAAATAAAATATGAGGAACATCTTAATGCAGTAGTTAACATAATTTTATTTTATTATTATAGCTATGATGTATCCAGAATTCGAGTATAGAGCGCCACCGCCATCATATCAAGCGTCCATGCAAGAATATAGGTTAAGACTCTTGTTGTTAGATAGGCAAACTAGTAGGCCTCCAGTAACAGCTTCCCCTCCGCCAACTTACAGATCACAACCTAATACATTAATAAGGTAAAAAATGCTATTAAAAATTAGACTAATACTTTCCAATAGTTTTTCCTGTATATTTTGTTACTTTCTCAGCTTAATAGGTGATAAAATTTTATTCTCTCAGATTATGTAACTATAATTTGTTAGTTAAATATTATAGTTATTTTATTATCAATTATTTTATTTCCAGAGGTCAAAATCCCTGTTGTCGCAACCCAACAGATTTATACTTGTATCAACCTTCAGCACTTTTAACCTCAGCTGATTTTAGTGGTCCACCAAGTTATAGATCCCGTACAAGTACCATGCGTCCCGGCTGCCATCTCATGGATCCAGTAGGCTCAACAATAGGCAGTCATAATCATAGCCGAAATTCATCACAATTAAGTGCCATGTCAGAAGCAGTTGGTGGAGGTGGATGTGTTAGTTTAGACACAGTTGACAAATTCCATATGGTCGAAGACATTGTGGTAGTAGATGAAAAACATGACTTAAGCAGTCCCCTAACTATTGTTCAAACTACAACTTCTCAGATCGATCAATTATCCTCAAACAACGGGCCGGTTATTGTAACTGTCTCTGGTGCTACCAATGATACAGCTGCTAATGGGAGACATAGAGAAAATGAAATGGAAATCCTAGCCCATTTATAAGTTATATTAAAAATATGTCCAATTTTTTTACAAAATATCAAAGCGAAAAATATTATTTGCGACTGTGAATTAAAACATATATTTTTAAATAATGATCTTATTTTTAATTTATTTAGATTTTAAAAATATAATATAATTTTTACTTTTAAATATTATTTATTTTATAAATACTAAAATATTTATGAAAATATTATAAACATGTGCAAATTTTTTAATTTTGAAATCTTATATTATTTTAAAACTCTTTACAATCTCTATTCATTTCAACATTGATGTATTCCCCTATTTATAAATAACTATTGTATAAATTTAATATTTTAGTATCTCATTTTATTCTCCAGTTGAATATAGCCTACTAGTGTTATTGTACTTTACAGTTACCTCGTTTATTATAGAAACTAAATAAAGAACTGATCTTATTAATATTATTGCTTAATAATTTTAAAATAATAAAGTGTAAAAATAGCACAACTCCAAAGTTGTAAATAATGTTATAAATTTAAATGTTAAGAATAAATATTGAATTTTACAACAGAAAATTCAAAGAACAATTGTTGAATTGCCATATGGTAAAATTTGTTACATAATAAATGTTAATGTTATCTATTATTTAGGTAAGAATATTGTAAATACTTTAGATGTGATTTAAGTTAATTTTTGTAAATAATTTGAATACAAATATAATTGTGATTTAGATTGTACAATGAATGTATAAATAATTAAAGAAAAAATTCATGAAACACATTATTATGTACATTTTTTTAACCCAATCTACCCCTAAAATCATGGCATCATTTGATCGCAACATTGATTGTAATGGATAGAATTCAGTGATAGGTTAATTAATGACCATCGTTGAATAAAATGATGATTATCATTAATCTATATATTTCAGTGGTCATACATCAGGCTAAAATTTGAGACAGTGTTTCCCCAATAATTATATGTATATGATCAACATTATTTTTTTTTGCTTCATGCAAAACTGATTAGATACTATTTTACAATGTGATTTTGTGTTTCTGTTCATAAAAATTCCCAGTCTATATATGATTGAATTTGCTAATTTATATGCCAAAAGAAATTGAATTTAATCTATATCATACTTATTGTTATAATAATTTTAAAATCTCTCGTTTTTCAACATATAAAAAAATAGCTTAAAATGAAAATCATAGAAAATAGACAGAATAATGATATTTATCTTTACATTTTACAAATAAAAAAAAAAATTTAACTTAATAGCATTTTTATTGATATAATTAGAAATCATAATCTACTTTTAGCTTCGATGCGAAGCTGAGAAAGTATTAGTTTTACCATGATGTGTTTTTTTTTTTATGTCTGTTGCCACTTTTTCTCAGGTCTCACTAGACAGATTTCTTTCAACAATATGTCAAAAGATCACAAATCGTATCTAGTTGAAGACATTACCCTTAAAAATTGAAAAATTTTCCCTCGTTTCCCGCAAATAGGGGAAATTTCCAATAAATCTACAAATTTAAAAATCAGTAAATTTTGTAATTTTTTTTTATACTTTTATCAAAATATTTAAAAAAAACATAAGTTAAAAATTAATTAATCAAAGTGACCCACGCGTTATATTTTTTGATAAATAATTGGAACGTTCTGTTTGAATAAAGTTCGTATTTTTGGATGCATATAACTATACTACAAATATTAAGTTAACAACATAAAAAAAAATATTTTTTTATTAAAATTATTAGATATATTTTTTAATTTATCAGCAAATAAATAAATTTTGGAATCATACTTTACTCAAATTTTTTTACACCTATAATACTAATTTTTTCATACCTTTAATACTAATTTTTTCACACCTTTAATACTAATTGCTACTAATTTTTTCACACCTTTAATACTAATTTTTTCACACCTATAATACTAATTTTTTCATACCTTTAATACTAATTTTTTCACACCTATAATACTAATTTGTTCACACCTCTAATACTAATTTTTTCACACCTCTACTACAAATTATTTCACACCTCTACTACAAATTATTTCACACCTTTACTACAAATTTTTTCACACCTATAATACTAATTTTTTCACACCTGTAATACTAATTTTTTCACACCTCTACTACTAATTATTTCACACCTTTAATACTAATTTTTTCACACCTATAATACTAATTTTTTCACACCTCTACTACTAATTTTTTCACACCTCTACTACTAATTTTTTCACACCTCTACTACTAATTATTTCACACCTTTAATACTAATTTGTTCACACCTCTAATACTAATTTTTTCACACCTATAATACTAATTTTTTCACACCTCTACTACAAATTATTTCACACCTCTACTACAAATTATTTCACACCTTTAATACTAATTTTTTCACACCTCTACTACAAATTATTTCTCACCTTTACTACAAATTATTTCACACCTTTAATACTAATTGTTTCAGTAAAATATTTTCTTTCTAATTTTAATTCTAATTCTAATTATCATGGAGTATACAACAATTGCTATAAACATATTACTATTTAATGAATAAACATGTAAACTTTAGACTATATTAATCTGCCACTAGCTCTATAAATTTAATAAAATGAGGCAAATAGTTTCTTAAAACATTATATTTATGGTAATCTTTAATAACACATTTTAAGCGGCATAGGTTTAATATAGAATTTTATATTAAACTTATGTCGTTTTATATTCCATTTCTAGTTTACATAAATAAATTTATATATTTTCGTCTGTACTCTTTTGATGATTAAAACATTTCAACATATATAACATATTGGTAATTGATTTATTTATTTTTATTATACACCTTAACATAATTAAACAAAATAACGTTATTAGATTGCATTGTGTTTATTACTTATTAAAGGACCATAACCTAGTTAACAGAGTACTAGAACAATAATATCACAATCAAAGTTTTAATTAACCACAAGCGTTCTCCAAAGTGTCTTTCTTTTTGATCAGTCAGTCTGTTTTCTGCCTCAGTGCGGGTCATCATAGTGTAGGACGCTAGTATAATTTATTGTGCAAACTCTGAAATTAAGCTCGCATCTACCCTAGATTATTCTATGGATGACTGAAAAGACGTAGGCCACTTGGAAATAATTTACAGTTATAATAATAGGACAGTTATGTTATTTAAAATCTCATTATTGATCTTACTAATTATTAAATTGCACACGTGTTAGTATAAAATATTACACACAAGGTAAAAAGCATACCATATAAATATACAACACTTTATCCCGATACTTTATCTTGATGTTTATTCCAAATCGTCAAATGTAATTATAAAATAAAAATGTCACATATTCAAATATTTCCAAAATTTTAAATTTTACAAAATTTTACCACACAATAGAGATTAAAAAAAAACGAGAAATACTTAGATTATAAAGGGATTGTTTTTTATGTGAGAACGTATCTGCGTGTCTTAAAAGATTTAGTAAAATTCCGACCGGAAGCATTATGCTTAAAATTTTAGGATTAACAAAAATACAACGGTAACTTATCGTATTACTATGTACAAAATAATAATAATAATGCTTTCCCTTCTGAAGAATGACAAACCCACAAAGGTATTTTGATTCGCTTCAACGCTAAACCACAAAACATTTAATGTATAATTTTATTTTTGTCATTCCGTAACTGTTAATGCATCAAAATGTGCGAAACCATTCTTTTATTATTAGCCCTAAAAATTATAATGGATCCAACCAAGTATGAAATACGCCAAATACATATCCTATGGGGAGAAAAGATCACTATCTAAACCCTACATACATAAGGTAGTACATTGGATAATTATATTTGCCCCAGTGATGTTGTTATTTTAGAAAATGCTGTTGCAGCCAAATACTCAATTAATCATAAATTTGAAGCACTATTATATCAACATATAGAACTAACAGTTTTAAGTATACATTATTATTATTCCTTAAATTTACTCTATAACTCTTGATTAAATATTATATTCTATAAGTTACACTACAGACGCATTTGAAAATTAATTATCAATATAATAAACGTATAAATCATATTACTGTAATAATTTTATGTTAGAGTTTAATATTTTATTAATTATATTCTTCGGTATATAAATTAAAGCATTAAAATGTTTAAATTTGCTTATTTTGTGACTATTTTGTTTTTACTTGCGCCATCTTGCAACCATTTTAGTATAAATGTTTTTTAAAAGAGTCACCTGAAGATGGCGCATGCCGAAACTAAGTAGTTACAGAATGTACATATTTAACACATTAGTAATTAGTTTGTTCATATTGTATAAATTATATTTATGTAAAAGCAAAGTAATAAAAGTGTTTAACCTAATAGAATTTATAGCAATTAAAAATGTGTTCAACATTTTTCATCTAATTATTAGAGATAATATTAAATTAAAATAGAAATGTGTATGGTCACTTTTATCAAATAAAATAGTCAATATTTAATTGAATTCATAGTATTCAGATTTAAAATTTTTTTTTGAAAACTAATGCTTAAATCTGTAATGATAGAGAAATGTTTATAGCTTAGTACGATAAAATTAATCTTTAATATTTCTATATCTAGGCACTGGATGTTCTCGACTAATTTATTTAGTCAATTTTGCTGAACATTTAATTTAATAAGAATTGATTTCTTATGGCTAATATTAAAAAAAATTGAATTTTATTTAAAATACCAATTAAAAACTAAAAACCTATAAGAAATATTTAATTAAAAAAGCCACAAAAATTAATAAGAAATCGTGGATACGTATTTCAGTAACAATGTTTACATTATCGACCTTAAATATCTACTTTTTTTTTAAGCTCATTTTGTATTATATTCCGGAAATAAGAACATTGTAGAGATTCTATAATTTTATATGGATAGAAAAAGAACTATACATAAAACACTTTCGTTCCCCGACAATCTTAATAAATTATATCTTCAATATATAATTAATTTACAAAATAAATAATTAACAAGAGGTTAACTTCTATTTTCAATGTCTGGCAAATCTTTGAATAGTCAGAAAAACTCTTTTGTGCGAATTTTTCACTAAGAGAATTACGCCAAGAATAATTTTCTGGCTGAATAATTCAGTTAAACTAAATCGATAATACTTTAAAAGAATAAATCGAAAAATTTACATATTATTCAGCTTTTGTTTTTAACCAGTCCCATAGGTGTAATTTTTCTCATATGCTCCCATAATATATTTATTACTAAAAAAAGTTATTTTACGGATTATTCGTTTAAAGATGTGTATTTGGCAATATATATGATAACATTAGTAAACTGCTACATCCATAAGTACTTGATGTATCAAGTTAGATTATTTTTTATTATTAGGATGTCTTAAACATCTGCTACAACTTTTTTACCAATAGTGTTATGTGACATATCCCTTTTACTCTCTGTGTAAGAAAATGAAAACAGAGCTAATGACAAAATGAAAACATAAGAATGGGCGGTTGTATAGCATGTCCAGAGTTTAATACATTGTGTGGTCTAGCGTATGGAATGAAAATTAATAGAAAATTGATTTCCACGTTAGCATTACATAATTAATACCTATTTTTTAACAGGATGCCAAATCTAAGTTTAAAATCAATACATATATTTATTTTCAAAATATCGTTTCACAAGTAATTAGCTTACTTACTAGGCACGTATGATATTTTTAAAACTGAGTTATAAAATTGTTATTAACTATTTAAGTCTTAAAAAATAATTTAACAAAACCCGATTAAATAACGGAATTATTGAAATAAAAGAAATACGTTAAATTGAAGAATCTTAAACCGTGTCGGAGGTCTCGGTGTCCTGAGACTTGTCGTTGAAAATTGACGGTGAGGGCGATTCTCAAGAATGGCAGTCGAAGAATGGTGATATGTAAACGAATAAAAGCAGCAGTCTATTTATTATTAAAATGTTCAAGAGTCGTTTTAATCACACAAGTTAATTACGCATACACAATGTCACGGGATGTTATCAGGTTCTGATAAAAATGAATGTATCGTCACGCAATTTTTTGGTATTGTCGATAAATTATCCTTTAGCCAGTAATGTTATTATGGTTATATCAATGACATATACATATAAATGAAATGTAGTATTTAAGTTAGCTGGGCGTTTGGGCGGAGCATTTGGTGCCTGTCTGGAGACCGACCGCCCATCAGGTATGTTGCACGACGCCGCGATCGCCTTACATCACGGCTGTTTTACATTGACGCATTGCTGCCGGTTGTGTTTCAGCAGCTGTACCACCGTCCGCGCACGTACGTAATCGCGCACCAGTTTATCGATTATTTTTACGCGAGTTCTTAAATCCATAATCATGTTTAAACATTAGATTAGTGTGCATTTTTTAAAAGTTCAGTTTGATCAATTGTAATCGTTTTAATATTGTCCATAAAAATCATTGATATATTTTTACTATTGATATGATATTAGTTTTGAATTTTGTAATATTTCTGAACTTTCTTGAAGTGGATAGTTAGTTCTTTAAAAATAATTTTAATAGAAAATTTAATTATGCACGTGGAGTTGGATGGCAGTCGTGTTTCGTCGTGGGCCGCGGCCGCTTCAATGCTCGGCCACCGCCGTCATCATCACTACCCTTGTCAAAACGCTGGTGGACAAGAACATCACCATCACCTCCCAACGGTTGTTGCCTCTACTACAGCGGTGGCTAACAGTTTTCACCCCCATTCCACCCACACTCCGATGGATCTGCACGTATCTCAACCATTTACACACTACAGGTTAGTACTTAACATTAAGTAAACAAAACAAATGTACTATCATTCGTTTGCTAATAATAAAAACTGTGTACAATTATGTTAAGATGAAATAAAAATCTTCACGGTGATATGTATACACGGATACCCAAGAGAGGGTATTCCATGAATAAAAAAGTGATTTTTAAATTCCCTTGAAATAAATACCATTATAAAGGAACTTAAAGGGGCTTGACCCTCCAAAATTTCAGAAAAAACTACTTATATAATTATAAAATATATATATATCAGAATGATGAAGTTGGGTATAATAAACTATTCTAAAAATTTTGTTGAATTGTGCCAATGAATTTTATGAACTGATAAACCTCACTGCTTGCATAAATAAATAATATCAGATTTGTTTTATGTTAGAAAATTGTAAATTTCGTTTTATAGTTATTTTTTTTTTAAGAAAAAACAGCTTGTACCAATCAAACATCGCTAAAGTAGAATTATCCATCTACCAAAATAGGAATTTGATTTGATTCGATTTAACAAAGGTGTATTTAATGATACGTATTAAGAAAATGTTTTTTAATTAAATTTTGATTCTATCAGTATAATAGATTTTATTTAAAGTCCAAAAGCGTAATTCAAAATCGTAAACAGTATATGTATTTTAATCAAATAAATTTAAATACTTTTTATTTTAGTTTATTAGGCTAAGAATAATAGCATAAATGAATAAAAAAATTGTTTTATTTACATATTACATTAAGTAAAATAATCCACACCATTCAAATCCATCTATTAGAATCGATACCTTTTAAATCCATAATTTTTTTTTTAATACTAAATTTCAATTCATGCATTTACTATAAAATATTGTGTTGTCGTTTTGTTACGATAAAACAGACCTCAAAATCATATTCGAAAAAATAATAATTATCAACAGGTACAGTATCACAGAAACATGTTCATTATTCTCATACACCGCTGCGTTAAATTATTATACGGAAACGCCTATTTGGTAATATGGATTTGGTTCTAGTGTATTTTCTCATTATAAGCCAGAGATGTGGAAGCAAGGGAATATCAAAAAAGTAATAAAATTATTGGGTTGTGGTCGATTTAATGTCTTTGATGACCTTCGAAATAATATTAAAATTATTTTATGTACATGTTATAAATATATAGGCGTTTTTTCTAATAGAATGTAATATTGATATTAGAAATTGGTAAAAAATTACAACATTTTTCTAGATTGTAGACAAAGTATGATATTAAATTACCTGTTTTTCATTCTGAATTGTATAATAAAGTATAAAAATTAAAAAATTTATACTTTTTTAAAAATCAAACATGTAAATTTATTAGTTAAAAACGATAACGTCTATAACATAATTATGGACACGATTCTATTTGTACGACATTCAAAAGACTGCTACTAAATTTTATTTTTTAATTTATACTAATATAACATTGTGCGTTTTACCACAATATCTGAGCAAGTAACCGTAGATTGACAAGTTTGAGATTGACCGTTGACGAGTAGTCGCTCCACATTCCAGCATACTTAAGTGCTCTTTGTTTTTTTCATAAACCTGTATGAAACCCCTTACATTTAAAAAGTATAAGCAAAGACTTAAGAATAATAAAAAAAAAAGTTTGAAAATAATGTAGTAATAGTTGCTATTATATAAAATATATGAATCTATTTAATATAATAAATTTAATATTTTACATATATAAGAAGGTCGCTTTATCATAAACCACTCGATTACTCGCAAAATAAATACAATAATGAGAAAAATATTTTTGGTTTTTTTTAGTTACATATATATTAGTTGTGTCACCAATTATTTTTTAGAATCATTCCTTACGACTCATAGGGTAGACAACTTTATTTTTCAAATGACAACGTACATAATTAATTAGATTATTTAATAGATAATAAAATAATTAAGAAAATGACTGGTCAATAACAATTTTTGGACCAGTACTTTGGAAATTATTTTCATTTTTATATCTTGACGGGAGGAAGAGGACGGCCGGTAAATGACTAGTGATAAAAATAGCTGCACTCATTTCTCAACTCCAATCATAACTTTAAATTATGAATAACTTTTGAAATAAAAGTTCAAAATTTATTATTGACCAGTCAGTTTCTTAATTATTTAATATCTATTAAATAATCTAAATAATTGTTATTTAAAAAAATAAAGTTGTCTATCCCTATAAGTTGTAAAGAATAATTCTAAAAAAAAATTGTTCACACATTAAATATACGTAACTAAAAAACCAAAAATATTTTTCTCGATTATTATATTAATTTTGCAAGTAATCAAGTGGTTTATTATAAACCAATCATTCTGTACAGATTGAATCACTAAGATAAATCCAATAATCATTTAGCTGTAATTTTTTAATTAATTTGAAAAACATTTCTTGTATTTTTAGACTATTTTAAAAGCTTTTTTTTTTAGTAGTCCCTAATACATAAAAACATAACTTAATTAAAAATTTTTTCAGAATGTTAAAATAGTAATTTTTTTTTATTGATATCCAATAATTTTAATATATAGAGCGCAGGTGTGTACTACTTGAACTGGTGACGTGCATTCCGTCCGATGAATTATAACACAAGAATCAGCACATCAACTGTGGCGGTCAAACAGCTACTTAAAATACCTATACGGGTGGGCAGTAGCCGGCTAATAACAAGAGATGAGAATGCTTATTAGAACGATGAGTGAAATGACTAGAGAAGGATAAGGAACGAACATATAAGAGGGTGTAGTGTCAATTGTGGATAAGATGAGAAAAAATAGACTTAGATGGTTTCGTCATATTATGAGGAGAGACGAATCGTAAATTGTAAGTACAATTATGGAAATTAATTTTGAAGTAAGATGAAGTAGAGGAAGACCATAAAAGAGATGGATAGATGTTGTTGAATGTGATATGCTGATGATAGTGTGAGAGATCGTGTCTAGTAAAAGTTTAGGATAAGGGTGGGTGGCTCTAAGTAGTTGGGATGAAGACGAGGGAAAAAAGGAGCTTCATAAAGGAGACATAGCTAAACAAGATAAATAAATCTTATAGTATCGTTTAATTAAAAAACCGAAAAGTATAATATTCTATTAATAATAAACTTAATTTTTTTTTTAATGAATTCCAAAGATAATTGTTTTAACATTATTAAAAATATTTTACTTAACTAAATCTAAGTTATATAATCAATGAATTTTTTAATTTTTATAATATCAATACTAAATTATTATAAATTATAATAATTATTATTATTATAAATTATATTATTAAAAATATTTAATTATTGCCATAAAATATGTGGTGTTCACTTAAAACATTAAACAATATATTTCAAAATAGAAAAAATCTAGCATTCAAACAGACGAGTTAAATAATAAAAAATATAATGAAATGTATCGATTCTGTAAATACTTTTACACAAAAAAAAAATATATATATCGTTAAGAATCAAATGTGTAGCATTAAAAATTTAATAAAATTTATTATGTTACCTGTTGCATGACATATTTGTAATTTGCGCGATAAATAGTAATTGTTGTGCATAGTAATATAATTTATTAATATTATGATAATGTTTCTTATATAGTGGTGTTTACACTTTAATAGGGTTGAATGACGATTTATGTGATAAAACTTAAAAATTTAGAAGTGTGTACTACATATAAAATTTTTTATATTAGTAGTTTTATTTAATAAGTACAGAGTAGGTTAAATCAACAATTCCTTCTAAAAATTAAACCCTATATACAGATTTGTACCGAAGTGTTTTTTATGGCTGTGATTTTAATTACTGTCAGATGTAATTACGAAAATGTTAACAATACATTTTAAATGAGATAAGGCGAATTAGAAATATATTATCTATATTGTCATTTAACAGATAGTACATTATCATGCCATAAGAATATTGCCTCATAACTTTAAATATCACAAATTTGTGATAAACATATCATAACCAAATTGAGGTACTCTAGAAAGGTTATATTTTTAAGAAGATTACGTAATATTATATTCTGTTTTTCTATTTGAATGCAATGATTAATAGTAATTGTTTTCCAAATCAAATATACATATTCAAGATAAGGTCAAAGAAATGGGGTGTAAAGACATTTAAACGTAACTAGATCGTTCAAATAGAAGACACTAGGCTTAATCGAGCCCTAAATAGATGAGACTTATTTTTATAGTCAGAATGTGTAATTTAAATAAAAGCTTAGAATCAAAAAAGATACCAAGTACATTAATATGAGTTACACGAAATAGGTTTTGATTAGAATATAATATATAATTATCTGTTATATTAATTCATAATTTCACAAAAATATAATAGAATGATTAAATTTTGAATTAAAACTTATAAAATAGTTGTTTACCCCCATTTTGTGTATGAACTTATAAGCAATGCAACTGCCGTGCTTTATTAATCTAAAGCAATTTAGATTGTCAAAAAATGTGAAAAAAGAGAAAACTAAAAGTGTGAAGAGTTGTTAGGGGTATTATTATTAGAAGTCGTAAATAATATTTCAAAAGGCGCTGGAAGAGGGGAGAAAAGAAGACGATGAAAGAGTGATTGTCAAAAGTCAGCTGGAACACGATCGGTATGAGGGGTGAAACAGTGGTTAGGGACGAGCAATGGTGGAAGGAGCTGGCGACTTTCTAACTCTAATAAACTCGACACGAATTCCACACAAATCATCTGATGCCACAGCTTTTCCTCGGGTATTACAACAAAAAGCTTTTTAAATATATATATATACATACAAGTATGTGTGAGAGTGTGTCTAGAATACGCATGCGACTATGTATGATGATATGACCGCATTGTACTATTTCCCCCAACGAGGCATGCATATAAGTATGCCAGAGAAAACGAAATGCACAGACAAATTCCCTTCTTAGAAGTATATAAGACAGAAATCTTTGATTTATTGAAGCGAAATGAAAGGAGAAACCTATTGCTAAAGGATTACAAATTCTTTGAAATCCGA